ACGCGCATGCGTACTTCCGTTACTGCTAAATCAAGTGCTCAGAAGCATGGGATTACGTATGTAAACAGAAAATGCCATATTTGCTTAGAAATAAATATAATTTTCAGTTAGCATGAGTGAAAATATACTTTGTCGTTCCATTCAGCCCAACGAGGCGGTGCTTTTGACAAATTTCAGCGAGGCGCTTGCAAATTTCAGCGAGGCGGGCGCCTCGCTCATTTAAGTGCAGGGGAAACACTGTTCACAATTACTAGTTTATTTTTACCATTGCCTCAGAATTTAGAACCTGTTTAAGGTTATAAGCTAGTTGTTTAGTCAAATGTCCACTCATCTCTCATCAGTTTTTAAATGTTTAGAAAAAAAATTATCATATTAAGTAAATATTTTAGATGCACCATCAAACTTTTTGTTGTAAATAATTACTGTAATTTTCATTTAATTGTAGAAATGGAGGAAACTTGGGCCAAAAGAAATGAGATGATGGCAAAAATGGAGGCACAAAGAAAAGAAGAAGAAAAGGTGATTACATATTTTTTTTTTCATGTGGTTAATGTGAAATAAAAATAACAAAATTTTCCAATGTCTTCAAACAATTGTCCACAAAACATTTTAATTTAAACATCTATACTCAAAAATAGAAATGAAATAAGCAGTGTATCACTTCATATTTTACCATGTCTTGACATAAACAAAATGTAATAAAGAATGCACTCATTANATGATGAAGAAGACATGGAGGTTTGCGAAGTCGAAGATGGAAATATAGAGTGCGCTGAGGGTGTTGAGTATGAAAAACCCCACGAAGCAAAACTTGACTCTAAAGCTGAACAATCAAAATCAGGGGAGAAAGACTCGGAGGTGATGGAAACCAGTGAAGCGGAGAAGCCTGGTGAACAGTCTGGTAATCAGGACACAAAATCAGACTCAAAGGCTGAGAAGTCTGAAAATAAGAGGGCAAAGTCCAAGAAAGGCAAAGATTTGAAAGGCGAAAAGCGGTGTGCCCTTGATGAACAGAAAGCTTTGATGGACAGATTATTTAGTGGCGAGGCAGACGCAGGGGTGGAGACGGTGGAGGTGGAAGTGCGCGTGCCAGTTTATGCGAGGCAGAAGACCAAAAAAGGTGAGACTGGTAGACAGCGCACATTAGACCTTAATAAATAAAAATAATTATTTTCAAGAAAATATCAACTGTTGTAATCTTTTTCTTTGTTTCCAGATTCAGGTCCATTCCATTAATACCCTATCAAGAACTATTAAAAAAAATATTATCTTGAAGTCTGTAAACCTGTGGTCCAAAGTACAGCCCTGTACACAGTGACAGTAACAAGTACTAATTTAAAATGCTCTCTACTTCCTATAAAAGTCAAACAATTTTTGCTTTGAATTGAAGGAAACATCTCTCTCTTTTGTAAGACTTGGAATTTTCTATTGAAACTTTGTTATAATTGCAAGATTTCATGTTGGAGATTTTAACTTATTTCAACATATTTCATCTTTTATATAATCGCCAGATTTCATGTTGGATGACCAGAGGAAGTATATGGAACAGCTGTTCAGGGGAGAAGTATCCCCTGAGGAGCCATTTGTTATGTTGGCGGAAAAGAAGAGACATGAGATTCGGTACAGAGATGCTTCACAAGTAAGTGGTGATTTTGTCCCGGTCAAGGCTTTCCACAAAGAGCCATCTAGCTGTCATTTGGATAGACAGAAGGCTCAAAAGATGGCCTTTATTTCCAAAGATGACTGGATGGCTTACAAAAATTTTTGGATTGGTTGGTTGGGCTTGCTTGCATTTTGTGATGGAGTCCTTGAAAATGGATGACCAAATTACAGATTCACATTATGGACTCCCCGTAACTCAATTCCTCATGGACATGGTATATGTTTCTTTCTGTTCAAAGGAACTTTTTTTTCTTGTAGTCAGTTTTAGACTTTAAAATGAATTTTTTTAATGATTCACAAGATGAGATATGTCTAAGACCGAGTTCATTTTATGAATTGACAAAAGGTTCTATTCTAAATGGGCGCCTAATAACTCATCACTTCATCCTTGTGTTAATTCCTGATGATGCAGGTTAGTATACAGGGGCATAATCATTATGATCTTTACATTATAGTAATATTTTTAATCATGTTTTTTTTTTCTTCCAGGTTAAGAAGTTACAAGACCAGCCGATGAATTTGGAAGAACAGATGCTGGCACTGAAGAAGCAACAGGTAGCTTTCACTCTTTTTGTGAACCAGACATGGAAAAATTATGGGTCATTTGGTCGAAGACAATCAGAAAGCTTTTGGTGGCAGTTTCTGTAAATAATTTCTTTAATTGCTTAAGAGCCTATCATACATATGAGGGGAAATGTTCCCACATATATATATATATATATATATATATATATATTAAATTTTTAATAAAGGGGTCATAATGGAGACTGGTGTCTTTTAAAATATTTTCCAGGTGATGCTGACTTTGGACGATGGTCAAGAGCCACCGTCCATGCTGGACGTGATAAAATACCAAAATGACCACTCGGACATGGTTCAAACCATGAAACAAGGCTTCTATGAGAAGGTGAGAATGAAATTTAGTCACTCACACGAACTTGAACACAAAATGGGTATTCAGATATGGACCAAACCATGAAACAAGGTGAAGTGAGTGTGATTCAGAGGGTGACGCAGAAAATGTGTCTTTAGGACAGTTGCAGACACAAATGGTATATACGTCGAATTATTTAAATTAACTAACACCCCATTTCCATAGATTAGATCAACCTACTTTAGATCGACCTAACTCCCTGGGGGTTCACGCTAAATAGCTGTCAGCCGGGCGGACACGAAAGTTAATTACCCTCTTACAACTTGTAGTAGGCGGGACGGACATTTAAGTCGGATTATCTGAAAGTAATCTAGTGAGACTCCCCGCGGGGATAGATCGATCTAAAATCTATGGGAATAGAGCCTAAGAGTCTACAGTTTAGAGAACATCTTTATTTAACTAAATGTTGTGTATAAAGAAAAGAATATTGTAATATATTAACAACTAATGAATTTAACTTGCAAATTCCCATTAGAATGCACCAGAAGAGAAAAAAGAAAAACGCGAAAAATGGAACACGGACAAACAGGGTCACATGCCCATGGATCAGCTGACCCGGAAGGTCAAGGCCATGATGCACATCCTGCGTACGCAGCCCCATCGCAGCTCAGTCATAGACACCATTAACTGTGCTTCCAAGAGCGAGGAGGTGAAGCTGGATATTTACAGGTGAGGGAAATGACCCCAGTGATCACTGATCTACTGGGCTGAACCAATATTAACTGACCCAAGTCCAGTTTTCCCCAAAAAATATTAAAAAATATAAATGCATTTAGATAAAATAAACTTGCTATTACAAAAAAGGGAAATGATCTGACAGGCTACTGACTAAAGAGGGGTTGATCATGATAATCATCATGATGATGAGGAGGAGGAGGAGGAGGATTACGGCATGGAGGTGCATGGGAAGCATTGGCATGGAGGGTGGATAACCATTCAAATAAAAACAAACCTTTTTTCTAGGGGATGGGGGAGTTCTGTTACCCTTCCACCAAAGGTGTCCAATACTTTTCAACTTAGGCCGCATTCAGAAGAGTGTACTTAGTAGTCTGAGGGTCAAATATGGCCGGCCCACTTGAATACTTCCCAATGGGGAATCTATTCGGTGTCTTTTAGCTGAATAGATAGCAAGCTTTTTAGTGGGTTGTCATTTTTGACCCTTGGAGTAGTAAGTCTACTGTTCTGAATGCAGCCTTTTAAGGCCATAAGGGACACTGACTCTCGCAGAAAAACACACACTTAAGCCCTCTTTTCACTGGATGATGTCTTTTCTCTGCCTAGAGTAGTACAACTCTGTTTGAGAGTAAAAAAAAAATGACCATTTATTCTGCAACCAAAGCTTGTGCCTCTCTTCTACGATCACAACAATGCCATTTTCATGGTCGCACAAAGGACGCTGCCCTTTGTAAAGGGGATTTCACACAAAAACACACACACTTACACTTTTGTATTTTTGAATGTTAAATTAACTTGAAAATGCTTGCATTTTTCCTATTTCACATGTACTAGTAATTTTTTTGTTTTCTCCAGAGTGTACCAAAGAATAGAATTTGGTGGGAAGAAGAGATTTAAGTGCATGATGTACCTGGATAATTTGAAGGTTGCTGAAGCGTGGGGTAACCNAGAGAGCTGATGGAAACAACACTAACGATGAAGAAGACATGGAGGTTTGCGAAGTCGAAGATGGAAATATAGAGTGCGCTGAGGGTGTTGAGTATGAAAAACCCCACGAAGCAAAACTTGACTCTAAAGCTGAACAATCAGAATCAGGGGAGAAAGACTCTGAGGTGATGGAAACCAATGAAGCAGAGAAGCCTGGTGAACAGTCCGGTAATCAGGACACAAAATCAGACTCAAAGGCTGAGAAGTCTGAAAATAAGAGGGCAAAGTCCAAGAAAGGCATAGGTTTGAAAGGAGAAAAGCAGTGTGCTCTTGATGAACAGAAAGCTTTGATGGACAGATTATTCAGTGGCGAGGCAGACGCGGGGGTGGAGACGGTGGAGGTGGAAGTACGCGTGCCGGTTTATGCAAGGCAGAAGACCAAAAAAGGTGAGACTCGAGAAGACTTACAGTGCACATTAGACCTGAATATTATAATAGCACAATGTTTTCTTTGAAATTTTCTTGTATATCAACTGTTGTAATCTTTTTTCTATTACAAAGTCCAAATCCATTCCGTTATTAATCTGTCAAAAACCCTTAATAAAATTATTATCTGTAAATGTCTGTTAACCTATTGTCCATAATACGACCCTCCAGATTTCATGTTGGATGACCAGAGGAAGTATATGGAACAGCTGTTTCGGGGAGAAGTATCCCCTGACGAGCCATTCGTTATGTTGGCGGAAAAGAAGAGACATGAGATTCGGTACAGAGATGCTTCACAAGTAAGTGGTGATTTTGTCCTGGCCAAAGCTTTCCACAAAGAGCCATTTAGCTGTCATTTGGATGGACATAAGGCTCAAAGGATGGCCTATATTTCCAAAGATGACTGGACGGCTTACAAAAATTTTTGGATTGGTTGGTTGGGCTTGCTTGCATTTTGGGATGGAGTCCTTGTAAATGGATGACCAAATTACAGATTCACATTATGGACTCCCTGTAACTCAATTCCTCATGGCCATGGTATATGGTTCTTTCCATTCAAAACAACATTTTTCTTGTAGTCAGTTTTGGACTTTATAATGATTTTTTTAATGATTCACAAGATGAGATTAGTCTAAGTCAAGTTCATTTTGAATTGACGAAAGGTTCTATTCTAAATGGGCTCATAATAACCCATCACTTCATCCTTGTGTTAATTCCTGATGATGCCTGTTAGTATACTGTGGCATAATTAGTATGATCTTTACATTTTATTTATATTTTTATCATATTTGTTTTCTTTCAGGTCAGGAAGTTACAGGATCAGCCGATGAATTTGGAAGAACAAATGCTGGCGCTGAAGAAGCAACAGGTAACTTTCACCCTTTGTGTGAAAATGACATGGAAAAACTATGGGTCATTTAGAGACATTCAGAAAGCTTTTGGTGGCAGGTTTCTGTAAAGAACTTATATAATTTGTCCAAAAATTGGTCTTAACTTTAATACTTAAAACTTACCTTGTTCATTGATAGATAATTAGTTAATTTCCATATATATATTGGTCTGAAGAATTAACCATGATTTTTCAAAAAGAAAAAAGAATAACAGAACAGAAAGAAAAGTAAATGTTTTATAATTAGAAAACATACACTAGCTAATATTTCAGACCAGCCCTTACAATTTCAATTGACCTACCATGGATTTATCTTACACTGATGTAGATTTAAATTTTTACTCTGAGAGCAATGGCCAACTTTTAAAGTTCTTTTAGGAGAAATGTTCCCAGATATGATAAAATGAATCTTCTCACTTTAAAAAAAAAAGGAGTCATAATGGGGACTGACGTCTGTGTAAATATTTTCCAGGTGATGCTGACTTTGGATGATGGTCAAGAGCCACCGTCCATGCTGGACGTGATAAAATACCAAAATGACCACTCAGACATGGTCCAAACCATGAAGCAAGGCTTCTATGAGAAGGTGAGGATGAAAGTTGGCCACGCACGCATACATAAACACAAAATGACCATTCAGAAATGAACGAAACCAAGAAACAATTCGCAGCTGTACTAAATGGCGCCATTTGTCCCCAAAAACACGGAAATGTTCCTAGGCCCTTCAGCGACCTGAACCTCACCAAAGAGGGGGGGGGCAGCTTTCTATCTAAGGCCTGTCATTCCTAAAAAAAAAAAAAAAACTGGACCCCTCCCCCTTCAAATAATCCTGAATCTCCCCCTGAGACACATACATTCTTATGCACAGTGTGCAAATACTTGTGAGAAAGATAATTAGCTTTGCAGGATTTGCAATATGACACAGAAAATGCATCTTTAGAACAGTTGCAAACATATATATATAAAAGAAAAAGAAAAAAAGAACAGCTTTCTTGCCCTGACCGGTTTCATTCTTTCTTCGGGGGGTTTTGTTTATTTGTTACTAGGTGGAGACACTCTCTGACATAGAATGACCGTTTACAGACAACAAATAAGACAACCTAAATATCAGTGCACGTCTGTGAGGGGGCACATTAGGGAATGCTCTATGAACAAAAACAAGGACTTTACAGTATTCCCATTTTATAAATTCACTGGGAAACAACCCAAACAGAAAGAGAAATGAAAGAAAATCTATTCATTAATAAGTATAAACCTACATTGAATAGATAAAAGCATTGGTAAAAGCAACAATTAAACACCCATTGTTACAGACGTCACATTTTAGCCTTTATGACATCACCTAGTAACAAATAAACAAAAAAAAACCTGAAGAAAGAATGAAACCGGTCGAGGCAAAAAAGCTGGTGTTCATTTTTTCTTTTTATTATAAATAATATATACTCGTACAGGAAAAACACTTTTACTTTTAACACACACACACACACACACACACACACACACACACACACACACACACACACACACACACACACCTTGAATTAATTATTAAGTAAGAGTCTACTGTTTAGATAACATCTTTATTTACATAAATGTTGTGTATAGAGGAAATAATATTTTATTTACAACTAATGAATTTGAATTGCAAATTCCCATTAGAATGCACCAGAAGAGAAAAAAGAAAAACGCGAAAAATGGAACACGGACAAACAGGGTCACATGCCCATGGATCAGCTGACCCGGAAGGTCAAGGCCATGATGCACATCCTGCGTACGCAGCCCCATCGCAGCTCAGTCATAGACACCATTAACTGTGCTTCCAAGAGCGAGGAGGTGAAGCTGGATATTTACAGGTGAGGGAAATGACCCCAGTGATCACTGATCTACTGGGCTGAACCAATATTAACTGACCCAAGTCCAGTTTTCCCCAAAAAAAATTAAAAAATATAAATGCATTTAGATAAAATAAACTTGCTATTACAAAAAAGGGAAATGATCTGACAGGCTACTGACTAAAGAGGGGTTGATCATGATAATCATCATGATGATGAGGATGAGGAGGAGGAGGATTACGGCATGGAGGTGCATGGGAAGCATTGGCATGGAGGGTGGATAACCATTCAAATAAAAAAAACCCTTTTTTCTAGGGGATGGGGGAGTTCTGTTACCCTTCCACCAAAGGTGTCCAATACTTTTCAACTTAGGCCGCATTCAGAAGAGTGTACTTAGTAGTCTGAGGGTCAAATATGGCCGGCCCACTTGAATACTTCCCAATGGGGAATCTATTCGGTGTCTTTTAGCTGAATAGATAGCAAGCTTTTTAGTGGGTTGTCATTTTTGACCCTTGGAGTAGTAAGTCTACTGTTCTGAATGCAGCCTTTTAAGGCCATAAGGGACACTGACTCTCACAGAAAAACACACACTTAAGCCCTCTTTTCACTGGATGATGTCCTTTCTCTGCCTAGAGTAGTACAAGTCTGAGAGTAAAAAAAAAAATGACCATTTATTCTGCAACCAAAGCTTGTGCCTCTCTTCTACGATCACAACAATGCCATTTTCATGGTCGCACAAAGGACGCTGCCCTTTGAAAAGGGGATTTCACACAAAAACACACACACTTACACTTTTTTTATTTTTGAATGTTAAATTAACTTAAAAATGCTTGCATTTTTCCTATTTCACATGTACTAGTAATTTTTTTTGTTTCTCCAGAGTGTACCAAAGAATAGAATTTGGTGGGAAGAAGAGATTTAAGTGCATGATGTACCTGGATAATTTGAAGGTTGCTGAAGCGTGGGGTAACCAGAAAAAGCATGCCAGGCATCAGGTCTATAAAGTTGGTAGGTGAAAAAAGCATGCCAGGCATCAGGTCTATAAAGTTGGTAGGTGAAAAAAGCATGCCAGGCATCAGGTCTATAAAGTTGGTAGGTGAAAAACTGGATCTAGTTTAATGCAATCCACTGCATCTCAGAGAATTGGCGACTTACTTAAAAGCTTGTTGCTTACTTCCCGATTAAACACTGAACAGATTACCCATGGGATTACAAAACAGACATTCAAGTGGGTCGGCCATATTTTATCCATGGATCTGTTAGTCCACGATAGTGAATGTGCTCCACGAGTAAATTTGAACACTTCTCATTTTTCACTAAACAGCCGTCTCATCCCTGAGGCTAACAGTGGAAGAGAAAATTTTCATCTTGCATTCAATAATTAACATTGTCACTTTGTAGTAAAACCACCGAGCTAAAAAAAAAGATATTTGCTCATTCATAAGATCGATCTCTTTGACTTTTCCACCAGCATTGGCTCACCTGAAAGAGGAAGATGTTCAAAAACTCGTACAAAAGAACAAGCGCGGACTGCCGTCTGCAGCTGACATGCAGAAAAACGGGATGGAGCTTGAGTGTCCTGGTCAAGGACTGACCAGAGAGTCCAATGCAGGTAGGTCACACTGTGTTAGATGACCAAGACTGAACAATATATTTAGAGAATAATAGTGAGCTCCTTCAAGTTGGTTATTATTGTAGTTATATTTATGTTTGAAATTGGTATTAAATGAATTATAGCACTTATATAAATGGTAACAATTGCTGTTAAAATCTGTTTCAATAGAATAAGAGAGGGTAAGAAGTAATTTTTTAAGGGGGGGGGGGAGGGGAAAGGAAGAAAAAAAAACAGAATTATGTTCCTATGAAAGGTGCATACAAACCGAGCATCGGTGGAGTGTGGATTCCCAGTAACATATGTAAACCAACTCTACTAGTTTCTTATACGACTCAAATAAATTTGACATGCCAAGGGATAAACGGAATAGATCACTCAATCAGCCATAAAATAGCTTTAGACTGCTCCTTTCTTTAAATTTTTGGTTGGAAATTTAACCTACTTGCATGACCTACTTTTCTGCCCCATTGACATACAGCATAGAATGCTAGCAGAAAAATCCATTCAAACATCATTTTCGGGTAAAATTAAACAATGCCTTTTGGTAATTCTCTTAGTTATACTACTTGAAGCTATATGCTGGCATTTGTTTGGTTTTTGTGACAAAAATTTGACTTTGTATGCATCTTTAATAATGGCCATTAAAATATGTTTTCAAGGCAGCATTCCTAACCATCCAATCAACAAGGGCTGGAGCATACGAAAACCCCTCGAGGACTTTGTCTTGTACAGGAAACAAGAGCTAAATGTAGATCTTGGCGAAGGACCCGCCGCCATCTTGAAGCAGAGTGCCGACTTCAGCCATTGTTTGTTGGAGTTTGAGTACGAAGTGGAGAAGGTGGCGCCACCTGTGGGACCTAGTTTGGTACCAAAAAAGCCGAAGCTAGGTGAGATTGGTTATTTTGGGCCGAGACAATTTTTTAATTGAAAATAATAGAAAATGAGGCAAAAAATAATAGATTGTTTAAGAGGTTAAATGTGTTTCTTACACACAAGGAGGGATGTTTTTCAGCAAAAAGACCTAAATCACATGATTTTGTAGTCTGCGACTTCTTTAAAAATGATTGTTTTTCATTTATTTATTTATTTATTTATTTATTTATTTATTTATTTATTTATATTTTTGCAATGCTCTTGACATAGAGAAGCCTATTTTTTATCAGTGGAATAAAGATGTTGTATATACTACTATATTTTATAAATTTACCACCAATTTTTTGGGGGGCCAAAAAAGACTTGAAGATTTGGGTCTCAAATATGAGACCAATTTTTCGGGCTAATGTCATTTGTGGAACAGGCTATGGCCCCATTTAGTCAGAGGGTCAAATATTGCTGACCCACTTAAATACTTCCCCACAGGATATCTATTCAGTGTCTATTATCAGATTAGACAGCAAACTTTTTAGTGGGTCGCCATATTTGACTCGCAGACTAGTTAGTCCACTCTTTTGAATGCGGTCAATAATATTATGTAAAATATAAACCCAGCCTTGGCCATTTTTCAGATGAGATGCCCCCACCCCCCCAGCCCCCACCCCAGATGTACAACACCCCTATCTGGCACCAATGGGTGCACGACAAAGCCGAGTGGGAGAAAAAATGGCACGAGATGTCTGCGGCTTATAAGAAATACGAGAAAGAGTTTCCATGGCACGCAGAACAAGAGAAGTTGAAAGCAAGGGAAAGACATCGCCAGATGCAGGAGGCTGGCATGGTGAGTTTGGTTTTAAAGGAATTATTATTATTATTATTATTATTATTATTATAAGAGTAGAAAAATTATTGTTGTAACAATTAACATTATTTTTATTAAAATTTTTCTTTTTGTGAATGTTGTGATAAAGAAGAGTGTGTTAGTCGATGTTTTAACATTAGATGGGGGGAGAGATGTAGATTTTCCTGTTTTATCAACTTTCATATTTGTATCATGTTTTATTTTTTTCCTTAGCTAGTTTATGTGGTACGAGGTGCTTAAAAATCATTAAAAAGTGAACTTAGCATATAATATTTATTGTAAAATTTTTTCTTCCCTTTTTAGTCACCCCCTTGTATGCTTATTTCCCTGCATTGTTGTCCTGTTTTCTTACTTTTCCTGTAAATTTGCATCATAAGGGCTCCGATAAAACATCATGAGTTAAGTTTACCATTCTTTTTCCCTGCTATGAGAGTAGAGAGAGTAGTTAGAACTGAAAAATTAGGGTTAAGGATTGTATTTTTATGCCCCCATTTGAAGAAGTGGGGTATATTGCTTTGACCATATTGATCAGTCAGTCTTTTGTTATCGTATTTGTCCAACCGTTGAAGTTTCCAATAATTATGTATTTGTTTATTATTATTATTATTATTTTATTTATTTATTTATTTTATTTTTAGTTTTATTTATTTATTTATTTATTTTGATTCATAAAGGCCTTACTCTGATTGTGTGCCATGAAATTCTTCGATGAATTTGTTTATAAAATATTTTTAGACTGGTTGGCAAGACTTCAAGTGGAAGCGCGCTGCAGATGGCGGGTCCTCTCAATCCTCTTATGCTCCCACTAGCAAGTGGGGGTATCAACAAACACCACAACAGCCAGTCACGTCCACGGTACCGCCACCACCCGAGTTCGTCAACATGTGAGTAGTGTGATTGGTACGACCGTTGAATTGCGATAGTAGTGGCTGTCATATAAGTGTTTGTAGACTTTTAGAGTGTGACAGTTGAGACTTTTATTGTGATAGTTGAGACTGTCTGGGTGTGATAATTGTGACAGTCTTGAGGTGGGAGTTACGACCATTGAATTGCGATAGTAGTGATTGTCATATAAGTGTTTGTAGACTTTTAGAGTGTGAGAGTTGAGACTTTAATTGTGATAGTTGAGACTGTCTGGGTGTGATAATTGTGACAGTCTTGAGGTGGGAATTACGACCATTGAATTGCGATAGTAGTGACTGTCATTGTGATAGTTGGGTATATTTGGGTGTAACAGTTGTGACCATGTGGATGTGATAGTTGAGACTCTGTGTGTGATAATTCTAACTATTAAGTGTGAGAGTTGAGATGCTCCTTTCGTGATTGCCTGGTTGCTAAGTGTCTTGAGTATTGGTATAGTGCTCCAACAGGCTGTACTTCACAGTACTGCCACTGCCCAGACAGGCAAGGTGTAAGTAGTGTGTTGGCTGTGACTAATTGTGATAGTTGTGACACTTTGGTTTTGTCTTTTTGGGTATGTGAAAAACAGCAAAGACATTGGTGTCTGTTCTAAAAGACCAAACAGTACAGTACCTGTGTCTTCACTAGTTTCCTTCACAGCAGGGGGTCGTGGGTAGGTCATTCCACCGAAAAAAATTAGATACACTGTGATATTGATGATACAAGTTCATTTTGTGTTGAGACATGATAAAGGTGGCGCCACTTTCTCGATGTTGTGCATTAACTATCACACTGCATTTTTCTTCTAAATGGCAGCTGGACCCTCTTCAAGAACGACATATTAAACCATAATTTTTGTTTATCAGTTTTTGGGAGAGGTGGGGGATCTTTTACTACAGCTTTTATGGATGTGATTTGTGTCTCTTTCTTGAAAGAAGTTCACATGCCCTTACATTGTTTTCCAGGTTCTAGCTCTAATTTTATTTCCAAACAGAAGTCATTTGGAAATAACCCCCATGATTGCTAGTCATAGGTAAAAAAAAGGAAGTACATTAAAAAAATTAGTGTACATTATCCAATGTCGAGGGGAAAAACCAAACACAAATATTTGCTAATGTTTCACTTTTTTAATATTTATCTTTTTCAGAAATTAACAACAGTGTACTTTCTGGCAAGAAAAAAACTAACGTTCAGTTATAAATATTTCGTTAATAATCCATTTTTTGGCCAGGGGAGAAATCTCATCAATTCATGTTGATGGGATTTACTGAGCAATTGTCATGTGATGTTTTTTTTTTTTTATTTTTATTTATTTATTTATTTTTTTAACATAAAGATGGTGTGACATAATCACCACAACTGTGGAACCAATAGCAGATGATGTAAAAACACGGAGAAGAAGTATACTGTCTAATGTCAAACAGAATGACACCGAACTTGTCATGAACTGGGAAGTCTAATGTTACAAAAAATTTTTTTTTCAATATTCATGCCAATGTGCTGTCATTGTTTCATAGAAGTGAGATGCCATTTCATACTTGGCTGGAAAAAACACCCAGTGTTGGGTCTCTGAACACATCTTTTTAAATTTATTTAGTAAAGGATGATTTTAAAATGTATACTACACCATTCATTTTTATATACTTAATTTTATTCCCAGGTACAAGTGTACGTGTTATATAGAGGGAAGGAAAATGGGCTATGCTGAAAACCTGGTCAAGGCACATGCCAAGCAGAAGGCTTGTTTTGAAGCCCTGGAGTATCTGTACAAGAACAACTGGACTATCATGGTGAGTTGTGTTACTGTCACATCCAACACATTTCACTGTCTCACCTAACACATTTCCACTTTCACACCCAACACATTTTACTGTCTCTCCTTACACATTTCCACTTTCACACCCAACACATTTTACCATCTCTCTCCTTACACATTTCCACTGTCACACCCAACACATTTGACTGTCTCTCTTAATGCAATTCCACACATTTGACTGTCTCTCCTAACACATTTCCACTTTCACACCCAACACATTTTACCGTCTCTCCTAACACATTTCCACTGTCACACCCAACACATTTGACTGTCTCTCTTAATGCAATTCCACTTTCACACCCAACACATTTTACCATCTCTCTCCTTACACATTTCCACTGTCACACCCAACACATTTGACTGTCTCTCTTAATGCAATTCCACACATTTGACTGTCTCTCCTAACACATTTCCACTTTCACATCCAACACATTTTACTGTCAAGCTTACCACAATTCCATCCCACCCAACAAATTTTACTTTCATATCTAACTTATTTCACTGTCTCTCCTAACACATTTCCACTGTAACAATTGACTCCTTTTCTGCAGGCCAAGCACATTTGTACAGTCACACCAAACACATTTTGCTGTCAAACCCAGCACATATCTACTTGCCACGACTTACACATTTTTTACGTCACACTGATACATTTGACTGTATTTAGCCTGCAAAAATGACAGCAGACCTTATGCGTTACAAACTTTTGGGAGAAGTGATATTTATCTGTTATGTGCAAGTCTGGCAGATCAAAATATATTTGCCTGAATCTGAAAGACAAAACTTGTCTCAATTGTTGTAGATCAAGAGCACTAACCCTAACGACCTCTGTGTGCTGAGGAGGAGTGACGTCTTGAACTGGGTTCCCACAATGCCTCAGTCTGTGCCAGCAAATGGCGCCAGTAGTGGCTCCAGTGCGGCCATGAACATGATGGCCAAGATGGGCTGGACGGGAGGAGGGCTCGGGTCCTCCGAGAATAAAGGTGAGAGAGAGAGAGAGAGAGAAAGAGAGTGGGTGGAAAGATTTAAGATATAAAAAACTTTTTTAAAAATTGGAACCAGTTCTTATAACAAGCTGATCTGCATGTGAATTTTTAGATTCCACTAATTATAATGATTTCAAAATTTCTATTTATTTCCTCTTTTGTCGGGACATTCACTGTCATAAAGGCAATAGATTTCAATCTGTCTAAACTAAAACTCCAAAATCCATTACAGGTTTGCCCAGTGCAATCGAAGTTGCTCCGTCAAACACCTTTTCAAAGAGAGGCGTGGGGAACACCATCTACGACCGTGTCTCCAGTGATTTGATCAGCAAACTGGAGGAGCTGCTGGAGTTTTACGCACAGTGCAACACGATCGACGAAATCGTGTTTCCTGGCATCGAGTTTTCCGCCGAGGAAAAGAAAGCCGTTATCCAGATCGGCCAGAAATACGGCCTGAAAACGTGTGGCACGGAGTACAATAAGATGAATTATGTGCTGGTGGGGAGAAAATTCACGGGGTCCGACCTGGTGAAGTTTCTGGAACTTCATGGAAACTGTAGCAATAAATACATGTTGGTGAAACCTGATACCTTTCAAGTGGAGATGAATATACCCTGAAAATGATTCTTGGAAGTTTTGAAAAAAAAAAACTTATTTCTTGGAAATTTTGAAATACTGTTTAATATTACAGGATAAAAGTGGGATATAGCAACAGGAAATGGTTCTTTGGAATTTTGAAGAAACTTGCTACTTTCACCGCGCAAAAATTGTAAATGGTTGACTCCTGAAACGTTGGAAATGGCCACGATTTTTGGAAATTACGCATCGAATTACATGTAACAACTTTAATATGTAAGGTGTGAATTCGAAAAAATAATCACTGGAAAAAATAACTTGCAAACATTATTTCAGACGTAAGGAAAATTGGTAACAGTAGTTTTTAGAAAAATGTTACACTCTCTTGATAATTCATCGGCTTATGTATGAAGCATTTAAATGTTGAATAAAAGTAGAAGAGATGATGCTTAGCACGGTAGGAGTTGTGCTTTATTTGATATTTTCTTAATTAACGTGACGTCCGATGTAGCTTTAAAAACCTGAAAAATACATCACACCAATATTCCCCTCTTGAAATAAGAATTTTGACTAGATCATAGTTCATAGTTCTAACCCGTACCAAAGGGCACTGTTTGCTCTTCAGAAAACCAGAAAATTTTCAAGGCCTATGGACCGGCCCCAAACCCCACATCCGAGGTCTGTCGTTCCTCCCCCCCCCCCCTCCCCTTCAAAGAATCCTATATTCGCCCCTGTTAACAGTCTGATTGGTAAATAATTCAGTCAACAACATGAATAAAGAGTCCAAGCGTGTTTTTCAGTAGTCATACTAGAACACACCTAGAAACTGTATTCGGTCCTTGTTATATGTACGCATTCGTATGAACCATGACGTTTTATCAAGGGATTGATCACATGAAAGACCCGTCGAAAACCTGGTACAAGTTGTTATAAAACTATGAGAAATTCAAAATGATGTGATTCATACAGGTTCATCATTGACGTCTCGCGACTTTGTTCTCGTTAAAAACCTAACTTCTGATTCCATGAATGGCGAACGTGGGCTTGATGCTGCAAATTACATTTTTAGTCAGCAGGCCAATTTCCCTAAAGCCCCCTTTACACTGGACGGCGTCCTTTCTGCGTCCAGCAGTACGGCCCCATTTGAGAGTAAAAGAATTATAATACTTTACGTGCCGACAACTGGCCGATCATTGAGCATTCATTCTGATACAAAATAAATGCTCGTGCCTCCTTATTAAGACCACAGCGATGCCAAATTTCATGGTCGCAGAGAGGACGCAGAAAGGACGCCGTCCAGTGTAAAGGGGGTATAAAGCCCCCTTTACACTGGACGGCGTCCCTTCTGCGTCCAGCAGTACGGCCCCATTTGAGAGTTAAAAATTATAATACTTTGCCGACAACTGGCCGATCATTGAGCATTCATTCTGATACAAAATCAATGCTCGTGCCTCCTTATTTAGACCACAGCGATGCCAAATTTCATGTTCGCAGATAGGACGCAGAAAGGACGCCGTCCAGTGTAAAGGGGGTATAACTGAGCAAAATGTATCGTAGCATGGCAGTTGACCTTATCGATTTTTTGGGTGTGTATGTAAAGAAAGCCCCCCAGTGTGGATTTTTCAAAATAATTTTTACATAGGGGAAACGTCAGGAATGGAAGTCCGGGCTCCCACATGATTAGTACAGCTAGGTTGGGGTTAATTTGAGTATTGGGGTTAGTATATGGACGAATGTCACCTGTACAAAATAATGTGTAGCAGGCCCAGTAAGACACTTCTGGTCTTGTTGAGTATCAGGGGCGGATTTAGGCCGTCTTTTGGGTCTTCCGGAAGACGACCAGATTTTCAAGTTTACATTGACGGGTATCTAATTTTTTCTGTCGGAAGACGGTCAAAAATGGAGGATGGATCAACAAATATATTATGAAAAACTGTCAGAAAATATCTCTGGATCTGCCCTTGAGTATCGTATGTGACATCGAATATTTGCACGACTTTGAGCACATAAAGGTATCACCACCGGGTTTATTGAACATTCGTGAACAGGTTCAGTAACAACTTCTCACCTAAAATGAGCTGTACCTGTTGTCATTTGCATAACAACGAGTTGTTCATCGTGCTGTCTTCCCGAGTGCTCACTTGGCAGTTGGCCAGTCGGGTGTAGATGCAACAGTATGTGTGGTGCAGTCAGAAGGTCGAGGTTTTATAAGGCGTGGAAGCAAATGCATGTTTGTGAGTAAGGCTAAACAGCGCATTCACCTGGCTTTTGATGATAACCTAAGTTTGCTTAAAATCCTCTGCACTTTGTAACCTCTGTTTGAAAATTTTGTGTGCCCCAGCCCTGACAATTAATTTGAATATTTTGACCTAATTCAAAATGTCGTGTGTGTTTAAATGTTAGTATGACCACCTAAATTAATTAATTAATTAATTGGGTGATTCTTGTCACCGTCCTGAGCTTCTGATCCAAGGATTTCGAGTGCTCATTACACAATGACCAACAGATACATGTTTTACACAGCCTGTTGTCTCCATTGTGTCGTGTGTTGTCCATCCATTACACGTTTCACTGAATAAAAACTTATATATGTGCAATATATTTGTTATAATTTTCGAAGAGAATGTGTAAATGATCTCTTTCTCTGAAATGCGTCAACATGTAATACAACACGTGTTATAATTTTAATATCAAGAGGAATATATTAAAGGTCGTAGCAATAACCTCACCCACCCTGCAAATGAAACGGGTTGTGCTAACAATGGTACTTTTTTAACAACAGGCCTCAAATAGTTATATCATTAACTAATCCCAGATCATAATTTTGGTTTTGCGGTAGCTGAACCTAAACATCAGACTAGTTACTAAACATACACGTCATTCCATATATTTGTGCCCTCTGCCCTGTGATAGTACATGCATTATTAGAATAAAAGTGTCTGTCTCTTTATTTCAAAATTGTAAACATTATTCTATGTTTTTAGGAGCTCAACGGGATTCTGCACAGCATCCGCCTGAAAGCAACCTATGAAGTCTAGCCTTTGTTTCACATACGGGAACCCACGCTCCTTCGTACATCTATTATATGAAAACTCAATACAAATAAATAAAATAAAATAAAATAAAATAAAAGAGCTTTTGTAATTTGGCGTTTTATTTTTCACTTTGTTATGAAATTATTATGATAAGGATAGTATTTTTTAGTGTTACAAGACTTTCATATTCATTCTTATGTGTAAATAATGTGTTGTACCTAAATTTTAAATAGTTGTAAAATGACAGTTTTTTCTTAATAACCCCTCCAAGCTGTTTTAGCGCACCGAAAAAAATGTTCTATAGCATATGGAACTAATTCATTTGGATATAACTTTCCTGTATTTTCTTTTATAGGGAGGATCCTATTTTGACGGGTTTTGGCTTTTCCTTTGGTGAATTGTTTTAATTTGGCGACCTATTCTTAGTATAAATACCTAATTTGATATTTGAACGTAATAATGAAAAGATGGGAAGATTCTGATGTCAGCTTAAATCTAGTTAGTTTTTTTAATAGATACGGCTCAAACTGGCAAAAAATTTGATTTCTGAGGGTAAAGCAGTTTCTTCAGTTCCTGTTCTCTGAATCAAATTGGGATAATTACAAGACTCGCCCCATCTGACACCCTTTCTAAAACAATGGACTCGCCCCACCTGTCACCCCTCTATTGCAATGGACTCGCCCCACCTGTCACCCCTCTATTGCAATGGACTCGCCCCACCTGCCACCCCTCTTTTGCAATTAACTCGCCCTACCTGTCACCCCTCTAACCTAATGGACTCGCCCCACCTGTCCCCCTCTAATGCAATGGACTCGTCCCACCTGTCACCCCTCCAACGCAATGGACTGGCCCCACCTGTCACCCCTTCTATTCGAATGCACTCGCCCCACCTGTCACCCCTCTAATGGAATGGAATCGCCCCACATAACACCCCTTTATTTGGAATGGAGTCGCCCCACGTGGCACTATTCGACCTTACTTGCTTCAGTCAGGTCGTTACTGCTTAACCTTTTCACTACTCCTGTGTTAGCTGACCTTGTAAGCAATTTATTAGAATGAATTTTCTGAAATGAAGTTAAAACTATACACTTATTCATCACAAACGCCAATCAACTATCAGGATTACCTGAAAATACATTTTTGATAATTTTGATAAATCTTATTACGTAATTGAAGTCCATTTTTTGTTTTTTAAAAAGCTTTTTATCATTTCGGTTATTTCGGGTAGGTACCGACTGCCCGAGGGTTCTAAAACCCACTAGGTGTAGTTTAGACAGCGTATGACGCAGGCTTGAAGTCCAACGTTAGACCGACAGCTTATGGCGCGACTACTGCTTGCTATATTGGTAAATATGACCGACACATATCTTTTTATTTTCATAACATTGTTAGAACGTTTTTTTTAAAATTATTATTAAAATACTACATATGATGATTGAAGTTGTGCAAATTGTAATAATGCAAAATATGCATCATTACAATATCCTGTAATATCATCAAAATATGCTGCCCTCCCCCCCCCCCCCCACCATTCAATTTCTGAAAAAAAATCACCCCACTGGCCCCCCTCTCGCAGTAGAGAATTTTGACTAAACTTTACCAGTTGGCACGCTTCGCCCTCTAAATTGCCACTGTACTACGAGATCAAGATCTTATCAAACATTGGCAAACTGGATGGGATGGGTATGAAAACTTTGAATTGAACTACCAGACACAAAAGAAAATGGACTCCTACCGAAAACTATAGACATCGTTAAGGTCAAATTCAACATGATTTACATAAATATCATCGACGTGGTAGGCCTACCAATACGTTATATTCAAGACATGCCAAATCCCCGCTAACGCTGTCTGATTTTTCATCATCAAACTTGTATGGATTTTTATCCGTATGTCCAGAATTTCCAACACTATGGGACTGTGATTGTAATATTATAGAAAAACAACCCTCACGGATTTATGGACCATAAAATGATCGACTACCATAGAATATCCGTACATGTCAAACGATAATCGTTGAATGATGAATACACAAAAGCCGTTTCTAATTGAAACCGACGTGAATGCGTCGTGAGCTCAGCTGATGACAACATCAGAGGTTGGATTTCCATCTCTCGCTCGTGTTAAGATAAATCTTAAACACCTGGTTCTATTTGAATAAGGAAACGGGATCTCACTTCTATTTGGAGTAACAGTTGGTAACTAGACCTAAAATATTATTAAGATAACATTCATCATTTCTGGAAATCTTTGTTGTTTTTGGAACAGATGAGTTATGTTTTTCAAAGTAGCAGTAGCTGTTTGTTCATAAACGCAAATAAACAAAGAAGGATAAAAAGTTCCAGACGAAAGGTAGGAGTAAAAGGGGTAAGGGGTCAAATCAAAAATCAGTTTATGAGAATATATAGGTTTGTCACCACTGTAATTTATGGTCATTATGATAATGATAATGTTATTTATTTCCATGAATAATATTTGATACAGTTTAAAACCCACAGCATGATTCTTAAAAGACCTTACAATTGTTAATATAAAATCCTATTAGGATAACAAGATATGAACAGGTCTTTTTAAATACAAATCATAATTATTATTCAATTTTATTCTAACTATCGAAATAAACGAGTAAAAATGTGTTCATAGTATGAAAATACGAAAAACACAAAAGACATGTATAGAAACTCTTATACGCACACAGCCACTCGAGCACTCATATTCAATTGCTCGCTCCCTTATAAGTCTTAAGTATAAAGATGATTTTATAATATTAATAATGATAGTGATAATAATTATACAGTGTAAGATACTAGTTAGAAACAGAAAAAAACTTTTAAAAACAGTATGAAAATCGAAAAGTGAAGGCTCTATTTTTCTTCACAAGATATTGGCAGCCCCTGTACCCTCTGCTCAACAAAATAATATTTTTTCAACATGATACATACATAAATTTGATGTGACACAAGAGGTCTTGGACGCTTGGGGTCTTTTTTAGGCATTTGTAAATGTATTCTTTTTTTTTTTTTTTTTTTTTTTGCATTTGGTACCACTACATATGTCATTATCATTTTAAAAAAAGGGGGGAAAACAAACGCAGTGTGGCATAATCAATGCTCGCTCAAACCTATAATGACTGAGTTTAACGAGGATAATTTATTTATTACCAGAACCCCAATGTAATCACGACGTCGACACCAGAAGGGATCACAAATATCAACGGGCAGTTCACGTTCCTTCCATTCATGTGAATTATCACCCAGTTGAAGACTGGGAAGATTTAAGAGAAAATTCAAACTGTTCAGTTGTCTGAAAAATAACGTGTGAGCAGCGTGTCCGATCTTGTATGCCTTGAAAATAAGAACAGTAACACCCTGGATTTTGAAGTCACAGAAATATCAATTCTTCATGAATGCGCTGCATGTCGCATGTGTTTCACCACAGCTGGTATGGGACGACCTTGAGAAGCCTACTGCGCAAAAGAATCGCCATAAAAGGAAATATGTCGAAAGCGCCATGAATCGACATGGACCGCTTCTGAGGAAACGCGGAAACGAACTTGACATTGGTATATTATGTCACAGATTGAACTGAATTCTAGGTAACTCCATTTCTGAGCTTTTATCAGTAAGTTTTTATCAACCACGAAAGATTGAATTTCATCCAGAGAACATGTATTTCATGTATTATATACCCCAAATATTACAAATGGTACCTTTTTAAAATAAGTATGATGGTATGCACAAATTCTCTTTTTCTTTTCTTGTCTGAGATCCGAAAATTGGAGTGTTGTACCCATTGTAAAAATCACAAACTAGCACCAAATATAGCACTACATAATCATCTTGTTACGCCGTTTAAAATACAAAGAATGCCTCCCTGCATCCGCTTTGAATCGCATATGATTTTTCCCAAATTAATTTTCCTATCCGGGATTGACACAAAAATTGAATTCTGTTTTGGAGGAAACAAAAACATGCTCACAAATCAGTGTTGACCATGCTTTAGACCATTTCTAATTAAGTAATATATTCACAAGTTATTAACTAGCAGTTTAGGCCGACAAGTTTTCCTGTTTATTAGGACGAATATATGAAGTATACGAAGAATTTTTTAATTGAGAGAACTTGTCAGCGCACAACCACCTCCACAACCGACACAATCGCAACTAGAAAAGCACTCCGAGAGCGCAGACCTCCGCCAAGGCAGCAATTTTTGATTATTATTGATTATTGATTATTGATCCAGAACACCACCAAAAACTAATCATCTCTTCCTTGGCCCACTTCTGACAGTTCCTGAAAATATCATTAAAATCGGTCCATAACATTTTGAGTTATGTTGATGACAGGCAGACAAACAAACAAACAAACAGGGGTGAAAACATAACCTCCTTGGCGCAGGTAATTAGACGATTGCATCCACAGTGTCACACCTAACACAATGTGAACGCCTGAGCTTCTTCTGAACCACGTAGTGAATTACATAAATTTTTTTGCAAAAATTGGTTACATTGGACATTTATGTGCTGCGGACTACAAAAGGAAAATTAATTTGGTTCCCTGCCCAAACGCACTGCACACAGTTCCAGCTGTCGTAGTTTAGACTAAATACTGATGGTATTTAATTTACTACATGGTTCGAAAGATCTATTCATTCACTTTGCGTTAATTGTGACAGTGTGAATGCAACTGTCAGAATAAATGCAATGGTTGCATTTGGCGTGGTAATGTTGGAGGTGATTGTGCGCAGACGAGATCGAAATAAATTATGAAGCTGTGTTAAATTGTTTGCTTACTCCAAAAGGCTTGAGTAAATGAAAAAGTTTAAAATGAGATAGAGGAAGAGTAAAGATACGAATTTGGTGTAAAGGATATCATAAAAAAATATCGAAAGTGAGAAAACGACTTTTGAATAGAACAAGGAAATAATCATACGTAATTCCAAGCGGATGCAGAGAGGCAGACCCCGCGAAATCAATATTTCAAACGGCGTAAGATGGCTATTGTGCCGCAAAGTTTTTATAACCCATTACTTTGGTGTTGGTGCTAGTTCGTGATTTTACAATGGGTACATCACTCCGATTTTCGGATTTCAGACTAGAAAAAAAAGGAAAGGGATTTCGCATGCCATCATACCTATAAAAAGGGTACCGTTTGTAATATTTGGGGTATACATGTATAATACATGAAATACATGTTCATCAATCCGTTTTCTTTCTTTCTTTCTTTTCCTGTGTGTGTTGGGGGTTGGTCATTGGGGTTAATGGGGCGAGGTTTTGTCTTCTCAAACACACTACGGAGAGAGTCAGGAGAATTCATCTTGAAATCATAAAGTTATTTCAATAGTTAATTGATAAAAAATCAATAAAATTTGCACCAAAATAGGTATTAAGTTATAAGCAAGTTTTTAATCTTTTGTCAGCATCCGTTTGGTCTAATATCACGAATTAAGTTCATAAAATCGATTAGATGACGTATTTTCTACTTCTACAGTAATCCTGCTGAACTGTGCTTTCGTTTACCATAGCGCTGATTATGTTATGGTGTTAAGTAGAAAAAATAATATCTAAAATTTTACAAAATGGACATGGAGATGAAATATTAACACCAAAATCAACTTAACCCTTAACTTTCCGGCTAGGTTTTACTTTCATGCGTTACAATTTCAAATCATGGCTTATTTTGCGCCATCAATTACAACAAAATAATCGAATACTTTTTGGTACTTTTCGGCTGCAGTTTATTTTTTTATTTTTAAATTTGTCAAACAGAAAATGGAGAAAAGATTCGAAAGCTTTCAGTCGTCGCTCTCATTGCTGCAGCCATAGCGTGCCTAGAAAAGAAAAGTAAGCAAAAAACAAATATGTCAGCCTGTAAGGAATTATCAAGTATTTCATCTACATTCAATGTGTGAATGTACAAATAGATAATTATAGTAATTAATTTAATTTTCAAAGTTATTCATTTTATATTATTAAAATAAGAATCTAGAATTAAAAACAGGGGATAAAATAGAAAAATGAGCAACTCACTTTTGTTTCACTCTTCGAAACAGGCACACAGTTTTCTGTCGGAGGAACATCGTCCTCCCCTCTTCAGCACATAATAGCACGCCTTCCAGCATTTCCTGTTACGACATTTCCCACCTTTTCTGCCAAGGTGTATTTTCTGCTCCTTCTTCAGTGCTATAAAGGATAAAAATATAATAGATAGAATAGGTAAAAATTGATGAAATCATTTTAAGAAAGTCAATATAGATTAGAAATGCAGAGTTAAATGTAATTATTTTAAAAATCATCATGTTATTATTAAATCATTATTTAAATGTCCTCATTCTCCTCAATGTAAGAGACTATCGATCTCAAAAGCCTCAACTCCCTCCGTGTAATGGACAAGAATGAGATAATGAAAATTATAAACACACAGACGGACGGGCGGGATAACATATTCCTCAACTTTTGTCACAAACATGTGGAGACAAATAATAAAAGGAACGAACTAACTGATAAATGTGCTATTTAATCCAAATAACCGCAAGACAGCTGTTAAGAATAAAAAAGGAATAATGAAAATAAAGCATATGCACCAAGATTATTACAACAACTTGACTTGCCCTTGCTGCTACTGCAAAGAGAAGTGACGAACCTTTTCTTTCGATAATAGAGTCTTCGTCTCCATGAACATGGTATGAATGAAAAACGCTCCAATCCGCTCCTAGTTCAGTCTTGTCACTACTGGTCACCTCAGTCAGTAAAAACGACAAAATTACCGCGAACAACGCTACAACTTTGATAGAGTTCATCCTGATAACAACAAGATTGGCTCATCAGAATGCCGACGTAGTACTGGTTCACAAATATTTATATATATGATCTAGTTCCGCCTTTGAGTCACGTGGCACAAGTGGCAAACCAATCATTGACTCACTTTTGTGGGCGTTCACTTATTCGGTGCAATCAACAAATGGCACTTTAAAAAACAAATAGCAATCAAATGACTGACGTCGATCTTTTTTAGAGGTCGAGTTTTCTTTGTGTAAGATACGTGTACAATTTTGGTCATATTTATTACAGTCCAACTTTTTAGTAAATAAATAAATAAATAAATAAATGAATAAGTAAGTAAGTAAAGAATTAATTAAGTAAAATTGAATTTAACTTTATTAAAATTCCCTTCCCTCAGTGTCAGGCCTCATAACAGATGGCTGCCGTTTGTGACTGGAGCCCCAAATAATATATTATTAGTAATTTCGAACGACGAATTAATGATTTAAACTGCGATTTTATGGTCCTATTATATAAATACTGACTGTGAGCATTATTATATTGGCTGCCAACAATTTATGAAATTTTGGTCATCTTTTACCACGGGTCTCCGCTGTTTTACACGGGTCCCTTTCTCGGCCGCTGGCTATTTTCAATACGACAGAAGATACGCTGAGCTGTGTGTTACAGCTTTCGTAGATTTATAGTCGAGAAGGGGTAAGGTTTTCCCCTCTTTCCCCCTTAAAAGCGGAAGAGATAGGCCTCTTGGCGACAAGACCCAGTCAAGTGACCTGGTGCTACTGACAGAATTTGACAAAGGGAATCATATTAGTCATGTTTGGACTACAGGTACCTGTAGTTGAACTATCCAGAAGGTTTAGAGACAATATCCACCGTGCAACCTAAAATTGTTCCAAAGGTGCCCCCTATCAAATGATAGTCAAGTGGTTCTCAGATTATTCCTTTATTTGATCTGGTTCAGGTTTTCGTGGATGACCGTCATTGGTGTTTTGGCACCAACGTGGTATCCACTCCAATTACTGACGCTGTTAATGACCTTAGTCACTTTAGACGCGGTACACGCTTAGTCGTTGGCCTCTTCTGGATGTCTGTAAACTCTGTTTTGACTGGTTGAGCGGTACAGGTGAAAGCTGACCTCAATAAAGAAAGTCACGAGGTTTCAGTTTTCAACTCAGAAACGATTAGGGTCCCCAATTCATTAGAGAAACATACAACGACGTTTTGCTGTTTACGGTGGGTTCCCCTGAGGTCGTCCGGTATTCTAACCAGCTAAAACCAGTTTGGTGTTCGCTAATGGACCTTGAAAAATGCGTTTTGGTGGCAATTTGCCCCTCATTCTGAACGGACTGGGTGGTTTTTGTTTAGTTGCAATAGCATATCCCGACAGACAGTGGGTCCTGTACCCTGGTGGTAAGATTTCAATACATAGGTTCTGGCTTCTGTGTAGGTACATCAAACTGGGCATTATTCTATAAAACTATGCGGACCGTTTCGTTTGGCGCAATTATCTGTATGGCAATGTCTGTCTTTTTCGCGCCATTCTGCCACAGATTAACAAATATGCAGAGCACTGCATAGCTCATTTTACACCTTGCAAAACCGACCACTTGCATGCAAAATTTCAAATTCTTCTATGCAGTAGTTGCCGACATATGGATACTTTTTTGACAGAACCATGCTTTGCCAAAGCCAAGCTATGACCTGCCCAAAGGAGCACTACCCAATTAAATCACTGCATATTACATAATGCATCAGCGCAACAAACCTGGTATTCAGTTTATTGGAAGCGACACACCTGGCTACACACTTCTCCATTCACATATCTTATATGAGATCGGAGTTTTTTGAAAAAAGCATGTATTTTACCTAGGCATACCTTCGAAACTGAAATATTCCATATTAAATGTCAAGTCTGTAGTTGGTCAAATTGTGTACCCTGTAAAACAGAACTGGGCAAAAGGGCAGGTCGCGTGTAAACTAATGATGTAGTCACTGGTGATCGCAATTGCAAGTCAATTTTGTTCGTATACAGTACCTTATACAGTTCGCATACAGTTTCAACAGAAACTCCTTGCTCAACTTAAGGTTCTTATTATGTGAAGCATAGTTACTTCCAACGAGTTTTCTTTTTTCTAAGATTTCTATTCAGAATTAATTTCGACAGATTTCAATAAAGGATTGGTGTTATCGAAACACTTCTAGTCAAATAAGAATGTGCAATAATAGCAACTTTGAATTAAACGCAACATGGATTATGTAACTTTAGGACTTATGTACAAAGTAAGCACAGATAAGCCAACTCAAATTTCCGACATGTTCGAGTTTCCAGGCGCCTTCGTGGGTCGACGAAATTCAATCTTTCATGGTTGATAAAAACTTACTCATGTATAAAGTTACTCAGAAATAAAGTAACCTTGAATTCAGTACAATCTATGACTTAATATGCCAAGGTGAAGGTCGTTTCTTCGTCCTGAGAAGCGTATCATGTCTTGGCTCTTTCCACACATTTCCTTTTATGGCGATTCTTTAGCGATGTAGGCTTCTCAAGGTCGTCTCATACCAGCTGTAACAAAACAATAATATTGGGCTACCCTGACTGCAGGGATGAATGCTGAGACTGCCACTAAATGAAACAGTCGGCAAATATTGCGTGGGGTCCAGGGGGGGCGCCTAACCCAATTATACATGTATACTTGGCTCTAAGAAAGTCGGAAATCGGCCGACAGAAGAAAATATTATTTCTGTGAATATTACAGAAGACGAAGGTCAACTGATCTCTATAACGTGATATCACACGCTGGACTCGACACGGTTTGGGCCTAACGTGCAAGGTACCCTTGTCCTTGCTGATTTAACGTCCGACCAGACCCTCAGTTGACGCTTTCCCCAGAATTACAGTAAAACACCGTCCATTTAAGTATCCTACATCAACAATTACCAGGAAATCAACCCTGTCACCTGGCGTGGAATACCAGGCCCGCAAGCAATTTCAAAGGTGTGTCTTTTTTCTGAAAAAGTTGACATTTTGACATGAAATCTTCATGTACCTAAATATAATTTGACCTATAGAGGGGACCTTTTCCCGGCAAAAAGGGGGACTCTGTCGAACTGTCCTGGCTACGGGCTAAAATACACTATGTATTGCCTCTTTTCTACGTGTAGGCTACATGTACTTACATGCGACGGCGCATGCATGTAGAATTGAGATTTCTGTGATCTTCTAAATCCAGAGTGTTACTGACCTTTTTTCAAGGCATGTATATCTACGAGAGGGGATACAAATGCTTACACGCTCCCTGCTCGCTATTTTTCCAGACAAAGAAACTAAATTTTCTCTTAAGTCTTCCCAGTATTCAACATATATATATATATATATATATATATATATATATATATATATATATATATATATATATATAAACTTTGTCTTTAAAAGTTTTTCTGTTTCTTAACTAGTACCTTTCACTTTATAATAATAATAATAATAATAATAATTATTATTATTATTATTATTATTATTATTGTAAAATCATCTTTGTACTGTAGACTTACATGTGTAAAGGAGCGAACGATCGAATATAAGTGCGCGAATGGGTATTTGTGTTCGCATGAGAGTGTTTATACATGTCTTTTTGTGTTTTTTGTATTTTCATACTATGAACACATTTTTTACTCGTTTATTTCGAAAGTCAGGATAAAATTAAAAAAAAATTTGTACTTAAAAAGACCTGTTCATATCTAATTATCCTTATAGGATTTTATATTAACAATTTACAGGTCTGTTGAGACTCATGCTGGATGTTAAACATAAACAAATATTATTCATGTAAATAAGTAGGCCTATCATTACCATCAACGTTATTACTATAAATTACAGTGGACGTGGTGACAAACAAATATATTCTCATAAACTGATTTTTGACTTGACCCCCTTACCCCTTTTACTCCTACCTTTCGTCTAGATCTTGCCCTTGTTTTCTAGCCTTCTTTGTCTATTATCGTTTATGAACGGACGACTTCTCCTACTTTGAATAAACAAAGTTCACCTTTTTCAAAAACAGCAAAGATTTCCAGAAATGATGAATGTTATCTTAATAACATTTTAGGTCCAGTTACCAAATGTTACTCCAAATAGAAGTGAGATCCCGTTTCCTTATTCAAATAGAACCAGGTGTTTAAGATTTATCTTAACACGAGTGAGAGGTGGAAATCCAACCTCTGACATTGTCATCGGCTACGCTCACCACGCATTCACATCGTTTTCAATTAGAAATTACCTAGTTTTTAGCACAGTCACGATAGAATCAATATGATTCATATGTGGAGGGGTCCTACTTAAGATTCTGTCAGTGTTATTAGTTATGTCATGCACAGAAATTGATCAATTGACTACTACAAGGATTACACGGACTTTCAACGCAAAACTACCATTAACAGACTTTCCGCAATAGCGTGATCACGACAGTGCGCGGAACAACCTTTTTGAACAATGTTGTATGCGTGTGTGCGTGTACCTGTGGCAAGCTCTAAAGCTTCTTTTCTTTGAATGCATATAATTTTTTGACCTGAGGGCCAGTGACATAAAATTACCATAACAAATGTTTTTATACTAGCATGTGAATATATGTGTTTTCCTGTTCACGTATGTGTGCCTGACCAGAGAGAAAATGGCATCAATTCGGATAAGCCGATTGTTTTCGTTAAAGTCACTTTAAACGCGTGGCACGCCTGCTTTTATACATTATTTCTTCAATATTGGTGAATGAGGTACCGGGTATACTTTTATTTGGAACTTGAACAGGAACGAATCTCATAGAATTACGTGTGTTAAATTATAACTTAATGCGATTATCAAAACCACTATTTAACATATTACATCTGTCAGTTTCGTGTTTTACACAAATTTGATTATCATATGTCTACCTCCATTACCAAAGCTTTGACTACTTTCATTAATTTTTAAGATACTGGTCCCTAGCGTCATGTCTCTGTCCAAGATCCTCACAAGGTCCTCCTAACGTGTAGCATATGCCTTGGAAAGTTCAAAGTCTCCAAGGTCCTCAGCTGTGCACATGCGTTTTGCCTCATTGACTCTGACAGAAGTACAGTGTAATTCGTGGTGAAATTTTTTCACACGACGTACCGGTATTTACCTTACGCGTTTTGTTTACCAATCAAGACAGCATTATCAGAGTCAAATTTGACACATTTCCTAGAATTAGAACGTTATGAAAACAATGGCGGAAAACAATAGTGAATTTGTTTATGTGTACTTTGTATCAAATGTTTCTCGAAAAGAATCTGATATCATCACCACTCGTAACTTGCAGACGCCCGGAAGAAGACGTTCAACACGTTGTTTAAAGCCGTCTAACAGGCTTACTTTAAAATTCAACAAAAAGTCTGTCCTCCGACAGACAAAATGGAGACATTTCTTTCTATCGTATTAATACTATGTGGACAACTTGTGAACGTACCTGCCGTACATGCCGCTTCTAATTCAAGGACGAGTGAAAGTAAGTTTTCATGCTCTTCTTTTCCATTATTCTTTGACTGGGTTCCCATACCTAGACCGATCTAAGAGGATCGATCCATCTCCAAGGGGTTCTCTTGCTAAATTGCTTTCAGCTAATTAAGCGGCTTAGATGTCAGGCGCGCCTACTGAAGGTGCTCGACGATAATTAACTGCCCCTTAGCAGCTTCGGAAGGCGTGACAGACATCTAAGCCGCTTGTGTTGATTGCAATTTAGCAAGAATGCCATCGGAGATAGATCGATCCAGAGTTAGTACGACAGGGTTGGGAATGGTCTGTTATTTTCTTTTATTTGTAATTTTCTTTTATTTACTTATTTATTTTATTGGTTTTGTTTTTCATTCATCTTTTAAAGGTTGTTATATAAATGAATTAAAACGTGTTTACATTTTAGGGACTAGCAACTGAAGTGTAAAGTACAAATGAGCGTCTATACTGTCACTACAGGGTGTCCCAAAAATATACTAACCCTTTCACTGCTCATTGCTTATATCAGTTTTTACTATGTTATTTTTTATTATTCTAATTTTAATTTAAAACAGATTAATTTAATTGCGTATTTGTGATTTAACATCTACATGTAATAGAAACAAAATATATCAGCAATGGGCAGTTACAGAGGGAGAACAATTTTGGAACACTTTGTAAGATAGCGTTTCCTACTGCTACCAGTATATACTTCAGCTTCGGTTGGTTTTATTCCATCTCAAATCCTTAATTTTTAAGTTGGATTAAGAGATTAAACGTGTATTCATAAAACCTCTATTCTTTTTTTCAATATCCTACACGACTCCATTTGTTCTTAAACATGTTATGGTATATTTCTTAATTCACAAGCATGAGAAGAGAGACAGTGCTTTCATGAAATAATTTAATACCTTTGTAGTATTTCATGCAAATCGTAAAATAATGCAGTTTACAAGGGAGTCGATTTTTTTACACAATCGGAGAATATAAAACAACGATTATTTAGAGAAATAGTCATTTCAAATCAATAATTTTGCTTATTTATTCATTAAGGGCTGAAACATTCCTATCTCGGTTTTCCTCGTCTTCATTTCACGGGGTATTTTCACTCGGACCCGATGACGGCGAATAATAGACTGATCAACCACAACATGACCCGAAATCGCGGGCCAAGAATTCAAGCTGACAGTGAGGGGTTTAACAGTGTAGTAAGTGCGAAATGAATATTTTTTCATTCCCTTTTTATGTGCAGACACTGTATTGATTTTATTTATTTATTTTTTGACACTAGTTTATGTAATCAATGTGACGACAAGATCAGCAGGACATCGGCAAAAAATGAAAATACTTCTGGGGTCAATTCTACTTTTTTCCTCTTTTGGCCACTTTGAGGTCGGTGGAGTTTGAGAAACAAATAAACAAAAAGCATCTATTTTACTGTAAATATTGTTATCACCTGAGTCTGTCCCCGTCGACGGAGCCGGTGTGACGTAACAGAGAAACCCGCATTATAAAGAGTCCGGTTCCCATTAATTAGCACAAGTAAGCCTCGACCTAGATTTTGACCCATTTAGGTCAGGCTAACCCTAACCATTATAACATAATAAAGGGTGGACTTTCTGTTACATGGACCCTCAGTTTCGTTCCACCGGAGCCGGAGAAGTTCTTTTTTCGCATTATGTTACCCTTTCCATATATCCCTTTTCTCTTTGGCCTTTTTTATATCCCCCTCTTTCTCTTCTTACATCCCTTCTCTCACTGTGTATTACTTTACCTATCTGTTCTTTTTTCCCTTTGAAGTGTGGTTCTTCGTTTTTCAACTTGCTATTTCTTGGTAGTGTTTTCATTCGTTTAGTCTTGTTTTTTTTTCTTACGTTGTATACAACATATTTTGTTTTCCTTTTCACAAGGGCAAATGAAATTAAGTTTTCAGCTAATTTTCGACTGGGTTACAGTATTTTCATTTTGCCTAGACCAATATATTTCTCATTACAATGTTTGAAATTCATTCCAGGGAACGGGAAACTTTATGTTCTACAACGCCTACGTGTCGGGGGTGTGTTATATGGACGGAACATGTACTTCCCAGGATGACGAAATACTGGGGCAGTCCGTGGAAGGTAGGCATTAATCCCTGGAAATGACGAGTATATAATAATAATAATAATAATAATAATAATAATAATAATTATTATTATTATAATTATTATTATTGACATCTTTGTCATTGTATTGTGGTCTGTTCACGTGCCGCACTGGTACAACAGAAGGGAAAGGGAAATAATATGTCATATTGCTTTCCTCGGCAAATAAAAGAGGTACTGTACTACCACTACTTCTATTACTACTATAACAACTACAACTACAACGACATCTACTACTAGCTGCTAATGCTAGTGCTTCTACCATTACTACCTTAGCATTTCTACTACCATTACTACTTCTGCCACCACGTTTCCTAATATGGGCAAATACAGGCCCTGTGCAGTAATGCTTCTGGTGCTATTCTTCACATGTCTTCTCCTTCGCCTCCTCTTTAAAAAGCCAGTACATGTACTTTACTTCTACTACAGCTACTTCTGGTTTGACCCTCTTTTGTTTTTTATCTAAAATCCAGACTGGTTCGACCGAGCTCCTGCTAAACTGGTCGACATCAGCCCCACCTGCGACACTTTGTCCAACATACACGGCATGAAGCTACAGGTGGGCCAGATCATCCGGGCCGCCCTCACTCCCACACCAGTGCAGCAGATGTGGCCGCGGTGCATCGAGACTCCCAACCTCTCCACCTTCAGTGCCGGGGCCCAGTTTAAATCGGTCCTTACGAACGTCACGTGGCTGGACGGGGATCCTGATTTTCAGTCCCAGTTTGTTGAGGAGCTGAGAGAGAGTGACCCCCAAGCACTTGCCGTTAAGTTTAATCTAGACCAGTACGACAGCAGAGTGGCCAGCGATAAGTTCCGCTTAGGGAGACTCGTTGGGACGATAGGACCTCACCATCCCGATGACTCCATCCCTTTCATGAGATTTACCAGACAGCTCCAGGCGGGGGATAGCGAATGCACGGAACCCTTCTGCCACGCCCCTTTCTCAATTGACCATGCCATGAATTTACTTACCATCGACGTTGGAAATAGCTTCCGGAGTTCATTCAATGGTAGTTTTAACACCCAGACACTGGGGAGGTTGTACGTTGGTTTTCGGCCTGCTTTGGGTGAAAGCTCTGAGGTGGACTGTAACTCGCAGGTCGTGTACGCCGGTGAAATTAATTACACCACCGAGTACTGGTATGAACGAACAGCTGGAGTGGTAACACTGAATTTAACTGAAACGCTGTCAGGAAAGGCCGTTAAAGAACAATTGCATATCTCTCCTCTTGTAATATTTAAATACAAGAAAGAAAATGGAACTTTGGTCTGCCAAAAGCCGGTATTGGTGGAGAGGCATCACGGGTTAACGGTTGGAGCTATGGTCACCAATACCTACAGAAAGGAACCAGGAGAAGCTTGGACTTTTCAGTTGTTCGCAAGCAAATTTGGTGTCCCGCAGCCTGGTGTTGAGTTAAGCCTGAACTTCGGTGGGGAACACTGCCCCATGCAGATCTGCGGGCCCTGCACCACGGGTTTCAGCACTCCCCAGTCTGCCTTGTCCTTCCCGCCGTTTGTGGTCACAGACAAAGGCGGATTTGCAAATATCCCGCTGATGGCCTATGATCCGATGGAGGGAGCCCCATATCCTCATGTTGTAGAACTTCAGGGCTCACAGCTTTATCTTCTCTTTATCAACATGAGCTTTGGAGGCATATCCGATGCAGCTCTGTTCCATTTAGGAGCACGGGTGTTTCAAATTTACCACGTGCCCGACACGCCGACGTGGTACGACCACGTGCTACCTACACTGGAGTCCTATCACAATCTGTTCCCCGTGATGCGATCTTTTGTTTATCTGTCTGATTATAACAGCGTGCTAGAGAACAAGGATAAGATGAAAGCTGTTCTGTCTTTGCCCATCGATGATCCCCATCACATGCCGACAACGCGGGATCTGTCAAAAAGTAAGAGAAAGATGTTGTTGGGCTGGCTTGAAAACCCAATACTAGGTCAGCCTGCGCCATCCATCGAGAATCTCCGCAGCCTTCTCCAGCAAGCTCTGGAACTTGAACTGAGCACTATTCCACCGTACCTGACCGCACTGATGTCTATAAAAGAGGGGTTCAACGTGGAGACAGGGCGGCGGATCAAGAGTGTTGTGGTCCAGGAGATGCTTCACATGGCCCTAGTGGGGAATCTGCTGAACGCGGTGGGCGGTTCTCCATCCATTGCCTCCACATTAAATGCCCCGCTCTATCCCAGTAAGCTACCGGGAGGTGTACGTCCAGATCTGGTTGTCTCGCTGCAGAAACTGAGCCGAGAGTACATTGAAACTATATTCATGGAGATCGAGAAACCATCCCAGTTGCTTTGTTCTGAATGCAAGTTAGACTTGAGTGGAGATGGCTTTTTCCAACAGACTTGTTTGGCTAGTACCAGTACAGGCTGTGGGCACCTCTGTTCCTATAGAGATACAAGAGGAGCGATTTCCACTTTTTATAACCGCATTAAAGAACTACTGATCACGCTGAGTGAAACTAAAGGTGCGACAATTTTTACTGGGAACGTGTTGACACAAATTAACGCAACTTTTTGGTACGGGAGAGACGCTGCATTGTTTCCTTTTGCTATAGTAGATCTTCAGTCGGCATTAAAAGCTATTGAGATAATAACGGAGCAAGGGGAAGGGAGTGACGTATGTACTCCAGTTTACCGCTCCCACGATCTGTCACACTACTTCAAGTTTGCGGAGATTGTTTACGGTAGGGAAGTTAGGATATCGAGTGGGTCTGGTCTTGGTGAAGACAGAGCATGCACAAAGAAGTCGTATTCAAGTGACACGTGCGCCAAACATTCGTTGTTAAATCCTGGTCGCCCGGAGGTGGTGGAAAATAACCAAAAGCGTTTCGAAAGAAATGGCAAGTGCTCACCCACTGAAGAAAATGTTTACACTCCTGAGACAGAGACCCCTGTGAAATGTGAGACGATCTACTCTTATTCGGGACCCAGGATTGCGTTTAGCAGTGAAGGCGTCTGGCCGATGGTGCCAAATCCTACGGTCGGCAAATTCAAGAACAACTCCATGGCTGTGATGATGGCGGACGTGTTTACCCGAATGTACTCTGGACTCTTGTATTGTCTTCAGAAATGCTTCTACGGTTTTCCCACGGAACTGAGAAACTGCATCGGTTTGATGCATGCTTTGTATGTGCAAGGACAGAGACTTGTTCAGACTCCTTTGATACACGGGGGAAACCCCGATATTGGTCCAAATGCGGGGCCGACTTTTAGGTTCATCGGGTTTGAACTAGGAAATGACGACTGACATCCTGTATTTGATGTTACGCGTTTGTTAAGGCATTGTATTATATACTAAACTGAGAATTAAACCGGTGGGGCATTTTGTGCACGTGGATGTGCCGGGTTACATAAGAACCAAAACTCGAATACGTCTCTTCCAAATCTGAGTGAATTAATACTCCAGCAGACTATGGTATTTTATTTCGTAACACCAGTTTCATAAAATAATTTTAGACCGAAATTTGGCCTGAACTTTAAGACAGAAACGTGGTAAATTCCAATTCCTGATACCCTCACAGAAGCTTGCTTGAATAAAAAAAATTGTTTTGAAACAACAGGAGTGAGGTTTCATTTGATTAATCAATTGCTGATTTACAAAGTGGACTCAAAACTTGGTCTAAAAGTTTAGACAAGCTCTTGTATCCGGTCCTTTGAGTAGTGGACAAGACGACAGGCCTCCACAGGCTAAAATGTTTTTTTTTTTTTACATCATACAAAGAATGTGATTTGAGAAAAAAATCTCTTTTTAGTAGATCTGAATGTGGCTAATTTAAACAGTCAGGAATCTATTCATCAATTATGTCTCGTGTGCCAAAACGGGGCTTGCGAATCGATTGCGTTTAAGCGATTGTGTTAGAAAGTATTGCGCTGGAAAAATATTGCGATAGTGAAGATTGTATTGGCCACCGTTGTGTTGCATGTGACCGCGATCAAGAGCCAAAATTTTACAAACTACGTGGCCCTTTTTTCGCATCGAGAGGTAGACTATACAGTATTTTCATGTTTGATTCTGTGAGAATAACTTGGTTTAAATATTATGAACGAGAGCCTACTGGAAGGTTTCAATGACAATACGCAATCAATCTACAGAATAAATTTTAATTAGTGCATTGGGGCTTGTGAAAAGGAGTAAAACCCACTATGCAATGCGTACATACTAATAACTGTCAAACTGGTGCGTTATGGAAAACTGTATCGCCCGATATGAAAAGAGCCTCAGAGCAAATTTTAATTTAATATGAAGTTGCATTTTTAACAGGGGAGACCAGAAGCGGCATATAAATACAACATTGGTCAAAAAGGTTGTCCCACCCCCATTTCCATGTACTTTTATTTACAAATCATCACCTCACAGCTGTAAATTGTAAGAAATAGTGTTTTTTATTACAGATACCGTGTCTATCATGATTAATGGTTAAAAAAATACAAAATAGTGGTGAAAATATACCTATTTTATACCATTTAGTAAAATTTATAAGAGGTACCCTCTCAAATCCACTGTTTCACTGTGACTTCTACAGATGTAAAGAAATGTCTATTAAATTGAAAAGACGCCATCAAATGTAACCAAATTCACACAGAATGAGCATTAAGGTGTGCTCGTTAAAGATCCTATACATTTTGGATTGATCTAACAAATTGAAGTACTTTCGTTTGAGAGGCTTTATCGTTTGTAATGTCCGAACCGGGGGAAAATACAAAGCTTTGCCGAGTATTAACGCGTACAG